CTTCGTTCTGTCATCTGCTACCATGGAGAACAGTCTAGATCCATCCTCTTTGGAACCCCCTTTCAGGTAGTTGAAAGCAGCTATCAAATCCCCCCTCATTCTTCTCTTCTGCAGACTAAACAATCCCAGTTCCCTCAGCCTCTCCTCATAAGTCCTGTGTTCCAGTCCCCTAATCATTTTTGTTGCCCTCCGCTGGACATTTTCCAATTTTTCCACATCCTTCTTGTAGTGTAGGGCCCAAAACTGGACACAGTACTCCAGATGAGTCCTCACCAATGTCGAATAGAGGGGAACGATCTCGTCCCTCGATCTGCTGGCAATGTCCCTACTTATACATCCCAAAATGCCATTGGCCTTCTTGGCAACAAGGGCACACTGTTGACTCATATCGAGCTTCTCGTCCACTGAAAACCCTAGGTCCTTTTCTGCAGAACTGCTGCCTAGCCATTCAGTCCCTAGTTTGTAGAAGTGCATGGGATTCTTCCTTCCTAAGTGCAGGACTCTGCACTTGTCCTTGTTGAACCTCATCAGATTTCTTTTGGCCCAATCCTCTAATTTGTCTAGCTCCCTCTGTATCCTATCCCTACCCTCCAGCATATCTACCTCTCCTCTCAGTTTAGTGTCATCTGCAAACTTGCTGAGGGTGCAATCCACACCATCCTCCAGATCATTTATGAAGATATTGAACAAAACCGGCCCGAGGACCGACCCTTGGGGCACTCCGCTTGATACCGGCTGCCAACTAGACATGGAGCCATTGATCGCTACCCGTTGAGCCCGACAATCTAGCCAGCTTTCTATCCACCTTATAGTCCATTCATCCAGCCCATATTTCTTTAACTTAATGGCAAGAATACTGTGGGAGACTGTGTCAAAAGCTTTGGTAAAATCAAGGAACAACACGTCCACTACTTTCCCCTCATCCACAGAGCCAGTTATCTCATCATAGAAGGTAATTAGATTAGTCAGGCATGACTTGCCCTTGGTGAATCCATGCTGACTGTTCCTGATCACTTTCCTCTCCTCTAAGTGCTTCAGAATTGATTCCTTGAGGACCTGCTCCATGATTTTTCCAGGGACTGAGGTGAGGCTGACTGGCCTGTAGTTCCCAGGATCCTCCTTCTTCCCTTTTTAAAAGATGGGCACTACATTAGCCTTTTTCCAGTCATCCGGGACCTCCACCGATCACCATGAGTTTTCAAAGATAATGGCCAATGGCTCTGCAATCACATCCGCTAATTCCTTTAGCACTCTCGGATGCAGCGCATCCAGCCCCATGGACTTGTGCTCATCCAGCTTTTCTAAATAGTCCCGAACCTCTTCTTTCTCCACAGAGGGCTGGTCACCTCCTCCCCATGCTGTGCTGCCCAGTGCAGTAGTCTGGGACCTTGTTCATGAAGACAGAGGCAAAAAAAGCATTGAGTACATTAGCTTTTTCCACATCCTCTGTCACTAGGTTGCCTCCCTCATTCAGTAAGAGGCCCACATTTTCCTTGAGTTTCTTCTTGTTGCTAACATACCTGAAGAAACCCTTCTTGTTACTCTTAACATCTCTTGCTAGCTGCAACTCCAGGTGTGATTTGGCCTTCCCGATTTCACTCCTGCATGCGTGAGCAATATTTTTATACTCTTCCCTGGTCATTTGTCCAGTCTTCCACTTTTTGTAAGCTTCTTCTTTGTGTTTAAGATCAGCAAGGATTTCACTGTTAAGCCAAGCTGGTTGCCTGCCATATTTACTATTCTTTCTACACATCAGGATGGTTTGTCCCTGTAACCACAATAAGAATTCTTTAAAATACAGCCAGCTCTCCTCGACTCCTTTCCCCCTCATGTTATTCTCCCAGGGGATCCTGCCCATCAGTTCCCTGAGGGAGTCAAAGTCTGCTTTTCTGAAGTCCAGGGTCCATATTCTGCTGCTCTCCTTTCTTCCTTGTGTCAGGATCCTGAACTCGACCATCTCATGGTCACTGCCTCCCGGGTTCCCATCCACTTTTGCTTCCCCTACTAATTCTTCCCGGTTTGTGAGCAGCAGGTCAAGAAGAGCTCTGCCCCTAGTTGGTTCCTCCAGCACTTGCACCAGGAAATTGTCTCCTGCACTTTTCAAAACTTCCTGGATTGTCTGTGCACCGCTGTATTGCTCTCCCAGCAGATATCAGGGTGATTGAAGTCTCCCATGAGACCAGGGCCTGTGATCTAGTAAATTCCATTAGTTGCTGGAAGAAAGCCTCGTCCACCTCATCTCCCTGGTCCCGTGGTCTACAGCAGACTCCCACCACGACATCACCCTTGTTGCTCACACTTCTAAACTTAATCCAGAGACTCTCAGGTTTTTCTACAGTTTCATACCTGAGCTCTGAGCAGTCATACTGCTCTCTTACATACAGTGCAACTCCCCCACCTTTTCTGCCCTGCCTGTCCTTCCTGAACAGTTTATATCCATCCATGACAGTACTCCAGTCATGTGAGTTATCCCACCAAGTCTTTGTTATTCCAATCACATCATAATTTCTTGACTGTGCCAGGACTTCCAGTTCTCCCTGCTTGTTTCCCAGGCTTCTTGCAGTTGTGTACAGGCACTTGAGATACCTTGCTGTTTGTTCTGCTTTCTTAGTATGAGGCAGGAGCCCTCCCCTTTCGCGCTCTCCTGCTTGTGCTTCCTCCCGGTATCCCATGTCCCCACTTACCTCAGGGCTTTGGTCTCCTTCCCCCAGTAAACCTAGTTTAAAGCCCTCCTCACTAGGTTAGCCAGCCTGCTTGTGAAGATGCTCTTCCCTCTCTTCGTTAGGTGGAGCCCGTCTCTGCCTAGCACTCCTCCTTCTTGGAACACCATCCCATGGTCAAAGAATCCAAAGCCTTCTCTCCAACACCACCTGCGTACCCATTTGTTGACTTCCACGATTCGATGGTCTCTACCCAGGCCTTTTCCTTCCATGGGGAGGATGGACGAGAACACCACTTGCTCCTCAGACTCCTTTATCCTTCTTCCCAGAGCCACATAGTCTGCAGTGATCTGCTCAAGGTCATTCTTGGCAGTATCATTGGTGCCCATGTGGAGAAGCAGTAAGGGGTAGCGATCCGAGGGCTTGATGAGTCTTGGCAGTCTCTCCGTCACATCGTGAATCCTAGCTCCTGGCAAGCAGCAGACTTCTCGGTTTTCCCGGTCGGGGCGGCAGATAGATGACTCAGTCCCCCTGATGACTCAGTCCTCCTTCTCTTGGGAGTGGTGGTCGTGGAACCCCCATCCCTAGGACAGTGCATCTCATGCCTTCCAATCGGCGGAGTCTCCTTCTGTCCCCTTCCCTCAGATGTATCATCTAATCTAGTCTCCGCATTAGTACCTGTGGAGAGAACATGAAAACTGTTGCTTACCTGTATCTGCGTTGCTGGTACATGGACGCTCCCCTTTCTTCTTCTGGAGGTCACATGCTGCCAAATTGCACACTTCTACTGATCTGTCAAGCTGACTAACGACATAAGCTTGTCTTGTCAAATGTATACTCTTTACCTGATAATTTACAGTATGTATTTAGTTCAGTTCAACTCAGACACAATATCTAGTTTTCTGTGGTGTCTTCCTCTTTACTCTGTTTTACAGCTGAGTTGACCCAGGCAATAGCAAAGCAAATTGTTTCCCTGAGGTTACTCAGTTAATGTGCTGAGTTTAAACCCGGGACCTTATTGGTGCTCATCTTCCCACAGCTTTTACCATCACCATTAATCAACTTAGCCTTTGTGAAACTAAAATTTAAGTATCCGCATAAATACCTTCAGCTGTAAGAACCACTTGATTAAAATATACATGTAAGAATTTACTCAGATTAAAATTAAAGCTACTTATTCGTTGCTGGAAAAGTAAACTACAGGAAGGTATTCATTGGTCCCTGTTGATGGAGAACTCTTTTTCCCACTAGGAAAAATATTTAGACAGTTCACTAATGTGTAATTCATTTCATTCACAAAAAGTTTGAATAATCAGGCCAAGGCATGGGGAAACTGCACAGCCCATCCATTGTCCTTACTTTGGCCTCTGCGTTCCTGGACACAAACGATTGACACAGGCCAGAGCCTAAGATTGTTATTGCCCTCTAATGGTATGTAAATACCATTTCTGGTTTTCACTGAGAGTGAACTCAGCTAGCAAACAATTTCTATTAATCAATTAATAGAAATATAAATACATGCAAGATATTGTGGTGTATGTTATTTTTTAATTTTAAAATCAGTGTAAATTGATATGCAGAGTTAGGGGTTCTGGCCCTGAGTGTCTTGGGAAGTTCCAAATGCGGCCCATTGAGTCCTATCAAGTTGCCTACATGGCCCTCAGTCTCTCAGCATTTTAGGTAACCTGCAATAGATTACTGAGAGACACACCATTATTCTAAAATGACTTTGAAAGTCTAGGACATGCCATGTCTTTCAATAAGCCATAATTACAAGCAGTGGACTGCACTTAGCTATCAATCCTTTGATTTAAATGGGAAGGACCTAGGTGCTACCTGTGGAGAGACATCAGTTTTTGTAATTCCTTGTTCTGAATTAACTCAAATGTAACCTTCCCTGCTTGCTGTAAGAACCACCTACACACCTATTGGATGTAATGGTGATGGGTGCAAATGCCTATACAGATCTGCTCTCCATGTTTTGGGAGGAGGGATGAGTGCTAGGTGCTTTTGTTCCCATTCTCTGTCATTCAGCTGGTTGAATTTTATTTTATTTTTTAATTTCGGTATAGTTTGATCCAGGTTGAGTCAACTGTTGTAATTTTTAAGAGTTTTGTATGATTGTATATTTTAAATTATGTCAAAACAAAGCTAGTGTTTTAAGGCTAGGTGTATTTGCTTAAAATATAAATAACGGAAACACAGCTGATTTATCTACATGTGCTGGCAAGCTATCAGATATAGCACACTCAGTGGAGTGTAAGACATACTTTGGCCTCTCTCTTCACTTTCTGTGCTGTGCTGACGGTCAGCTAATGAGGTAATTTTTTCTGTGTGTAGATGAGGTCTTGTCTGAAAACTTTCTGGACTACAAGAACCGTGGCATCAATGGCTCTCACCGTGGTCAGATTATCTGGAAGATTGATGCCAGCTCTTACTTCATAGAGCGTAAGTACTTTTTCATGCTACTACAGTGCAATTCAGGGAATGTGGAAAGAAGTGAGCTGTTTTACTCTGTGCCCATGGTCTGTATGCCCTTCAGGAAGTTTCAAGCATGGTACATTTATACAGGGGTGGTCAAACATACTGACTCTCTGAGCCACATATGACAATCTTCAGAAGTTTGAGAGCCAGGGCATGCCTGCTGGGGCTCGGGGCTTCTGCCCCGCTCCTGCTGAAGTCCCAAGTCCAGCAGGCACACCCCACAGGGCTGAAGCCCCATGATCCCCATCCCCGCTGGGCAGAAGCCCCTACCCCACCACCCCCCTGCAAGGCAGAGGTCCCAAGCTCCCCCACAAAGTCTGGTAGGTGGAGAATGCGGGGGGAGGGAGGGGTGACTCTGCAAGCTGCACTTTAACTGTAAAAAAAAAACCCCATGTGGCTTTTGAGCCACAGTTTGGCCACTCCTACATTTATACATTAGGATGATCCAAAATGGTTTATGGAATCGTGAACAATGGTGCCTACTAGGTCATGAATACTGTGGATATTGACTGATTCAAACTATTTTCAGGCTGATATAGGTAAGCATTAAAGTCCACTTGGCATATAGTATGAGTTATACCATTAGTTAGGATTTACATCAACATGTTGTGAAAAACACCCCAGTGGGCCTAATTTTAAATTATTTAATCAGTCCTCATTTAAAAAAAACCACCTCATATTGACTTCATGAGTTGGCTGGAGGACTTTATGAGGACTCACTGCCTCCAGACAGCCCTTTTGCTAGTTTTACACTGATGCAACTACAGTGACATCAATGGAATTACTCCTGATTTACATCTATGCAACTTAGATCTAAATCTGGCCCAAGGAATCTAAAATTTTAGGGCTATCCTGTTTTTGAGTCCCCTGAGCATGTAAGTCACACAAATTTTAGACTCCCTTACACATGGGTTGAGTAGTGTAGCTATAAGGGAGTCTACATTGGCGTAACGGAGTCTAAGGGCTTGTACCTGCTCCCACTAAAGTCAATAGCACAACTTCCACTGAACTCAGTGGTGTGCAGTAGGGCATACATGAGTGTAGAAGAGTCTAACATACATCAATGTACATGTCACCTCTGAATTTTTTCCAATAATCTCCCTTATACTGTTTGGCCAAATTCAGAGATGATATGCACGGAGGTGTAAGTGGGTATCAATCTAAGGTTGACTGGGTGTAAGGCAGTCTAAGGGACTCTTAGACTCAGGTGGTATAATTTACATATGGAGGGGGCTGGGAGAGGTATGTAAGTTAGCCATCTTGGACTCATCCCTGAATTTGGCCTAAATATCTGGCACCAGCAGGAATTTATTCTGCCACCTGCAAGTGTTCTGCGGGTATTCATAGTGTTACAGGTGGGTTGATCAGAGCTCTCTTGCAATGTGAGGCCGCAGGTCATGTTCTGTAGTGCCAAGTGGTAAGTTGACCAACAGGTGGCTGTCTCAAAGAACTGAAGGGGTACTGTTGATATTTCAGTTTTATAATCTTTTATATTTATAAAAAATGCAGCTGAGGGCAGTTTACAGCAGTCTGACTGTTATGTGGTGACAATGGATGTTACTATTAAGATTTTAATGCTTCTAATTTCTGAGAGGAAATATACTGTAGTATAACCCAAAGGCTATTATTTGAAACTGCTTCCTTGTGCTGCAGCTACTAAGCTGTGAAGCTGAAACTTTGTTTTCTTTAAATGGTAAAGTAGAGTTGGGGAACAAGAGATTTAATTTCCCAAGACCTGGACTTGGACAGGTTCAGCCCATCATGAAGGAGATGCCCCCAGTCTCTTGGTGGGAGAAGGCAGTGGAACTGAGCTAGCAGTAGCTTTCCCATGTGATCCATAATGTGAAAGTAAATAACAGGCGCTGAGTGCAATCCTGGCCTGGCTGAGGTTAATGGGAGTTTTGCCATTGACTTCAGCAGCTCCAGGATTTCACCGGATGAATTCCCCTATCCACTCATATAGGACAAGTCATTATCCTGCCTACCAATATCCAGGGGAAAAGGGAGATAAATGCGTAAGGAGCAGTACATAATAGTACATGATGATATTGGTAACCAAACTTGCTTAACCACTGAGGTATGAATTTAAAGTAGAGATACATGTTGTGTGTATGTGTAGAGATCTACACATATCTACATTATATTTAAGGGATACTGCTCATTATTGAGGAGTATATGGAGGCTTTGTGGTTGATTAAAAGCTTAAGTGAAGCTACAGTGTTTGACAGTATCATCCATTTGATAATCAAAGAAGCCACTGTGAGCCACTGGTTTCCAGTTTTTAAGTTCTGTATGGCAGGGATCTTATCATCTTTTGTGTTTGTACAGCATGTAGCACATTGTGGTATGTTCTACTGAAAACAAATAAAAATATTCATTTAACAGAGTGGCAGTATCGGAGAGATCTGGTTTTTTATTTTTGCCATGCATTAAAGGACTTTTTAAGTTCATTTGTCCTTTTAAAAACTGGGGAGAAGGAGGAGGGGGAGAGAGAGCACAATGATATAGCAAGTCACTTTAAAGGTCCCCATTTTTAAAATATATTCTATTCACTTTACACTTCCCTTACATTTGATGTTGGTTTGAAGTCTTTATTTTAGTAATAGTAGTACCTTGTAACACATATTAGCTCAGCTACAAAATCATCCTTTCATTTCTGCTTTTGCTAGTTTTTATGCTTGCATTTATTTGTATATAATTACTTTTTAAGCAGCCTGTTGACCCAACTGTGATACAAAATATGCAAACTTATAGATAATACGGTTCTACAGAACAGAGACAGCCAGTGCTGTAAATTGCAAAGTGCAGCCTGTCAAATTGCCAGAAACAAAATGAAAAACAAAATGTTACCAAATGCTAAATAAAATTAATAATGCCTTATATAGGAATCTGAAGGCTCCCAAATTTGGGCTCCAATGCAGAATGAATTTTGACTCTAGTCCTTGAAATAAAGAAGTACTGAATGTTTTGTTCTTGTCAGGGGTAAAATATACTTAATAGATTTTAAGGCTAAAAGGGGCCGTTATCATCATCTAGTCTGACCTCAAAGTTAAATGTGTTTCTCTATTGCCAGTAGGACTGCCATGAGATTTAAGCCCAGGACCTTTCACATAACAGCCAGGGAACTTATCTCTGTGCTAGCAGCTAACTTTAAGTAAATAGCTTAGATGAAATTTTTTAACGTTTGCTTATTTAAGCTCAAGAAACATGCACATTAAAATTTGGGAGTTTTGTGAATAATAAAAATTAGAAAAAATGTTAATTTTTCTGTTAATGGGGTTTAGAAAAAGATCAATTATTTCATCATTGAAAGGGTGAAAATAAGTAATAATAAGTAAATGGGAATACATTACTATTTAAGTGACTTATTCAGGATCACTGAGGGAAGACTGTGGCAGAGCCAGGAATTGCACCTAGGACTCCTGAGTTCCAATCCACTACCTTAACCTTCTTCTCAGCCAAGTTTGTCTTTTTTCTATCAGCAGGGACAATACAATAAACAATCAATCAGCTTCTTTATTACCCTTTTGTTATCTTTAACTCTCTGGTTCCCATTTCCTCTATTTCTATCCCAGTATATTATGTATAACTGTGGCTAATTCTGTACAGTAATCTGAGTGCATTCATATTACTTGTGCATGCATATTACTCACACACACACACACATAACATCACACATTACTATAGCCATCTGCAGTTGATACTTATTCACAGCTTAAAAAAAAAAGATTAATTCAGTTTCCTCAAGAAGTTTACATCTTTGCACTTTTTATGGGTCACAAACTTACAATATAATGTTGAAAGATAGACATGTAATTGTTGTGAGCCTAAGAGAGTTTGCTTCCAAATTACAGCATGAGTGCAAGACAGAACTAGACTCATGTCCTGCTAGGACTCAGAAACTAAAAAGCATTAATAGCTGCACAGGCATTGTCACACTACAGCCAGTTTTGCATTTCTGCGGCAGACTGGCAATTTGTTTTTTATGACATCCAGTGATAAACAGCAACTGACCACAATAAATATGAAATAGCTGGTCTTGGAGGTTTTGTGTGCCACTTGGGAAGCATACTTTCTCTGTGTTGGGGCTTGGAGGGCACTGCAGTGAAATAACCATCCTATAATGAGTTTTCCAGGAAAGAAAGCAAGCTTTACTTCATTAGAATTTCTGGCACATTTTTTGTCCTAGACAGCAATACTGAGTGAGAGACCATTTGTTCGAGGTGTAATGCCATAAACAGTACATTAAGTTAGCACATCCCTAAAATGGGGGGAACTTTGACGCAGTTCAAATTTCACTGTCTTTAATATAGTAGCTGAATGTGCAGTTGTCTTGTTTGAGTGGGTTACTTTTGTTGCCACATGTTTAGTAATGACAAAGGCAGAAGACACACTTCTTGTAGATAGCAGAGATAACGGAGTTTTCTGTACCATTGTTGAGCATGGGAAAATAGCAGAAGATTTACAGTCTGAAGGTCATGCAACTGAACTAGTCAGAGATCTGAGACAACATGATGCATCTGCCAAAGAGACTGGGAGTATTGTAGCCTAGTACATAGTTAATGTTTAGTACAAATCCCTTTGTTTTTGGAACATAAGCATAAATGCTCCACAATCAATGTACTGAAATGTCCCAACCAAATGCATTTATTGGAGGCCTTTCTGAAAGTATCCCTTTAATTACTTTAGGCAGTTGCTTTAAAGGATATTCTCAAAGTGTGGATAATTAAAGTATGTTGTAGCACAAGGGCTTTCCAAATAAATGAGAGAAAAACGCACTGTCAAAAATCCAAAAAAGCTTTAGTGCAGGCGGATTTATTGTACAGCAGTGCCTCTGACTCTCCCATTGGAGATGGCCAGTGGCTCTGCTCCCTAAAAGAACGCTCAGTTTCACTTTCAAGTCCCCCAGCTTTTCTCAAACCACACCCAGCTGCAACTCAGCTAGGTTTGGGGGAGAAGGTCAT